AAATGACATATTTATCCTCACAAAATCACATTAAGTAAAAGAAGTTAAAAGATTGTAATGTTTTACAGAAAGAAGACAAAATGAAAATAAATCAAAGAATGCATGGTGCAGGATGTGCGTGCACTTTTCAACCACGCAATGAAGGATAAGTTGAAAATTGTAACCTATACTCCGGAATCACCAACATAGATGACTGAATGTTAGACCTGCTGTTTTTAGGTGCCATCCAGTAGATTCTGACTCATAGCAACCTTCTGCTCAATAGAATGAAGCACTGCCAGGTACTGCGCCAGCCTCACAATCCTTTCTATGCTTGGGTCCATGGTTGCAGCCACTGTGTTAACTCATCTTGTTGAGGGTCTTCCTCTTTTTCTCTGACTCTCCACTTTACCAAGCATGATAGCCCTCTCCAGGGACCAGTCCCTTCTAACAACGTGACCAAAGTAGGTGAGATGAAGTCTGGTCATTCATTCTTGCTTCCAAGGAGTATTCCAGCTGCACATCTAACAGGACAGATGTGTTCATTCTTCTGGCAGTTCATGGAATTTTCACTATTCATTGAAACCACAATTAAAAGGCATCAACTATTCTTCAGTCTTCTTTATGCATCATCCAGCTTCCACCTGCACATAAGGCAATTGAAAATACCATGGATTGGGTTAGGGGCACCTTCATCTTCAAACTGACACCTTTGCTATTTGACACTTTAAAGAGGTCTCTTGTGGCCGATTTCCCCAGTGCTATATGGGACGTCTGATTTCTTCACTGCTGCTTCCATGGGTGTTGACTGTGGATGCAAGTAAAATGAAACTTCAATCTTTTCTCCATTTATTATGATGTGGCTTACACATTCAGTTGTGAGGATTTTCATTTTCTTATGTTGAGGTGTAATCCATACTGAAGACTGTAGTCTTTGATCTTCATCAGTAAGTTCTGCAAGTCTTCTTAATTTTCAGCAAGCAAGGTTGTATCATCTGAATATCACAGGTTGTTAATGAGTCTTCTCTAATCCTCATGCCATATTCTTCTTCATATAGTCCAGCCTCTGGGAATATTTGCTCAGCATACACAGTGAATAAGTATGGTCAAAGGATACAGTACTGATACACATCCTTCCTGACTTTAAACCATTCAGTATACCCTTGTTCTGTTTGAATGACTGCCTCTTGGTCTATGTATAGGTTCCTCATGAACATAATTAAGTGTTCTGGAATTTCCATATTTTGCAATGTTATCCATAATTTGTTATGATCCACACAGTTGAATGCCTTTGCATAATCAGTGAAACACCAATAAATATTTTTCTAGTATTGTTTGCCTACAGCCAAGATCCCTCTGACATTAGCAATGATATACCTAGTTCCATGTCCTCTTCTGAATCTACCTTGCATTTTTGGAAATTCCCTGTCGATATACTGCTGCAAATGTTTTTGGATTATCTTCAGCAAAATTTTACTTGCATGAGGTATTAATGATATTGTTCAGTAATTTCCACATTCTGTTTGATCATCTTTCTTTGGAATGGGCACGAATATGGATCTTTCCCAGTCAGTTGGCCAGGTAGCTGTCTTCCAAATTTCCTGGCATAAATGAGTAAGCACCACCAGCACTGCATCTGTTTGTTGAAATATCTTGTTCTGGTTACCTAGTGCCACTCTGACAAGAATATACCACAAATGGAATGGCTAGGAATTTATTCTTACAATTTGGAGACTTTAAGTCTGAGTTCAAAGTGCCAGGCTCTAAGGGCTGGGTGAAAGTCCCTCAACCTTGGGCTTCAGCTCTGCCTCCTGCTCCCAGCCCACTGAAGCTGGAGGCTTTTCTTCACTGAGGCTGGCTGCTGAGGCTGACAAACCTAAGGTTAACGAGTAACAAGGCACACTCCTGATATTACCAAACCACACGGTAGGCCATTATTTAAAGTCTGCTAAAAGTCCCAAGATCAGCAGAGTATGGCAGGCTGCTGAACAACAACACGGCTACATGCAGGGTCCAAGCGTGCCATAAGCTAGAGACCATTCCCAAAGCTACTTCTTATATACGGGAAGCAGACCACATCCCTACAGCAGCTACTTAGCTGCTTGTTGTAGATTCCCACCATGGTGTTCATTGCCAGTCTCATCATGGGGAATAACTACCACCAGCTGCCCAGCCACTCAACCAGGTCCAGTCAAGTTGTCACACAACCTTAACTATCACACATCTCAATGAGTAGCCCATCAATTCCTGGAGTCTTGGTTTTCACCAATTCCTTTAGTGAAGCCTGGACTTCTTCCTTCAATATCATTTGTTCTTGATCATATGCTACCTCCTGAAATGGCAGAATGTCAACCAGTTCTTTCTGGTACAGTGACTGTGTATTCCCTGAATCTTTTTTTGATGCTTCCTGCATCATTCAATATTCTGCCCATAGAATCTCTCCACTTAAAATTCTCCTCAAGATTTTTATTTTCTAATACAGTGAAACCTATGTATTTCCTGCATCTTTTTTTGATGCTTCGGGCATCATTCAATATTTTTCCCATAGAATCCTTTTGAGGCTTGATTTTTTTCTTCAGTTCTTTCAGCTTGAGAAATGCCAAGCATGTTATTCCCTTTTTGTTTCTAATTCCAGGTCTATTCATTATAATACCTTACTTTGTTTTCTCCAGCCACCCTTTGAGATACTCTGTTCAGCCCTTTTATTTCAACATTTCTTCCTTTCACTTTAGCTACCCTCCATTCAAGAGCAAATTTCAGTCTCTTCTGATATCCATTTTGGTCATTTCTTCCTTTCCTGTCTTTTTAATGATTTTTTGCCTTCTTCATGCATGATTTTCTTGATGTCATCCCACAACTCGTCTGGTTTTGGTCATAAATGTTCAATGTGTCAAATCTATTCTTCAGATGGTCTCTAAATTCAGCTGGGATATACTCAAGGTAATATTCTGGCTCTTGTGGCCTTGTTTTAATTTTCCTCAGCTTCAACTTGAACTTGCATATGAGCAACTGATGATCTGATCCACAGTCAGCTCCTGGCCTTGTTTTGACTGATGATACTGAGCTTCTCCATTGCCTCTTTCCACAGATGTAGTCTATTTGATAGCTGTGTATTCCATCTGGTGAGGTCCAGGTGCACAGTCGCCATTTATGTTATTGTAAAATGGTATTTGCCATGAATAATTTGTTGGTCAGGACTGGAAAGTCTCCAAAATATATTTCAGTCTTCCTACTGAATAATATGATGTATGTATTTTTTAGTGTATGTTTTCTTTAGATCTAATTAACATTTTTCAGAGGCTTTCTTTGGTAATATACAAAACAAATGTGTACTACCCAAGGGGGCTGTAAGGAGAATTAAATAGTCCAAAATGGAAATATATTAACTAAAATGAGAGATCTGCAATATGATGTTACGTGATGATAATATAGGCCAGAGCATTTTCACTATCAATCATGACTTTATACAATGAGATTATTATAAATTTATGTCCTGTGTCCATCCAGTCATAATGTGATATGTAAAAAGTGTGACTGTCGATAGCATTCTATAAACAGATAATTCTTTCTAAAAATAACAGTCATTTCTTTAAAAATATAGTAAAAGAGCTAGAAGGAGCCCTGGTGATAGCACTCAGCTGCTAACCAAATGGTCAGCAGTTTTAACCCATTAGTCACTCTTCAGAGGAAAGACTTGGCAATCTGTTCCTGTAGAAATTTCAGCATAAGAATTCCTAGGGCCAGTTTTACTCTGTGCTGTAGGGTGTCTATGAGTCAGAATCGACGACACACAATAGCCAAAGGGATGGAGGCTCACTGTGCTTTCTGTTAGATTCGGTAAATACCAGCTAACTACTTAAGGAAGTAGCTGTGCATTTTCTTGCATGTGAATGATGTATTTGAACTCTTAGTGCTTTTCAGAGAAATACCTGAAAATAAGTAGCAGAAGCCTATTCTACCCGAACACTTCGGCTATGACTGCTATACTATAAGAACTTGGACAACTTGGCCTCTTTCTTATAGGTAGGACCTTGACCCAACATATATACCCACATTTGTGCCTAAGTATTACGCACAAGTTTGAACAGCTTTACTTGGGTATTTCTAGTCAGGAAATAAATTTCTATGCTCCCAAATTTTCCAAGGTTTTAGGAAACAACTAAAATAGTTATTATTCTAAGAGACTAAAAGCTTACAGTCTGATAGGGACTGCAGAGAGTATTGCACATCTGATGAGGGTCTTGAACCATGAAGTGAGAATTTGAATTTTTCCTTCTCCTTTTCTCCATCTTTACTCCTCTTCTTCCCCAGGTCTTTTGCATCTGCTTTCTCTAACATGTTAAAAAAATTATAATAAATCTTTTAACTATAAAGCCTCAAACTCTGTTACTTATTCAGTCAACATGTTGGGGGGGAGGGAAGACCAAACTGTAGTATTAATTAAAAGTGAAACCATAACCATCACTTTCCCAAAACATGACTCCCCTCTAATTAGAAACATGATAATAGAGAAAGAAAACTTTTGTAATTGACATGCATTATGAAAGATATGTAGCATTATCTATTATGTGCTACACATAAATTTATGTTCCACAGAGATGATCATTTGAATATTGTTTCTTTATATAAAATTGTAGTGTTGGGCTAATTTTCTTATTTTGAAAACAAATAAAGAAAACAAAACCAGCAAAGCATAGACTTGAAGTTAAGTCTCAAATATGGAATTCTCTCAGACTTTCCTTATTTGGAGCCTCAAGGAGACACAGCTACTTGTCCTCAGAACATCTTCTGATAGATCCCAGACTCCAACCAACATCCAAAAATCAACATTTTATTGCCAATGTGGCTTCTGTACTAAAATCCTTGTACCCAGCCCCATCCCCACCATTTGAATTCCCATTCATATAGTTTTCTTTGAAGCATATTCTCTCTCCACTTAAAATTCTCCTCAAGATTTTTATTTTCTAATACAGTAAAAACCCGCAAAAGCCAGAAACTATGTAAGCCTGAAACCTGTCAGAGAGAGAAAAGCCAAATATTTTCCACTAAAATTAGCGATAGGAAGTTGGTAAGACTGTATCCTATCAAAGGCGGGAAACCTGAGAGAGCTGGAAAGACAAGGCAGTACAGGTGAGATCCAGCTCTCACAGGTTACTCTGTAAATCTCTCCTAATTCTGAAATGGAAACTGCAGATGTCTGTGATTTTATTCTCTGCATCACTTGCCAAATGTGTAATTATCACCATTGGTCAGGTTTTTTTTTTTTTTAATTTACATAAACAAAAATGATGACTTTAGCAACTTGTAATGTTCCTAAGCCTACAGAGAAAGCCTGTCTCATATGTTAGCTTTTACATTAGATTTAACATCTGTATTAGATCCAAACATGAAGATGACTATGGCTTCAAACATAGGATGAGAGATTTACATGGGAAATTTAAGCATAAACAATAAGTTATTATCAGAATTTTATTTTGTGTGTTTTCTACAAAAATATGACTTAACATACACACACATACACCAAAATCTAATTTTCATTAGCAATATGTGATTTTGAAAAAAGTCTTAAATAGCTGATTCCTATTCATAATTCATAATTTAGGAATAATATATAATAAAAATACAAATTAAAAATTTGACTGTTTCACACAGAAATCTGGATAGTACACAACAGTGTTTATCAAAGTGTGTTTTTTGCCAACACTCTAAATAAATGTGTTGCTTCTCTGTCGTTTCTTCCCACCCATCTGGCAAAACCCCACTCTGAATAAACTTGGCAGCTGAGTCTTGCTGGAGATAATCCTCCCCTAGTTACAAACCTCTCCCAGATCTATGTTAAATTTCCACGAAAATCGTCATCTTTTACCTCCACCGTGAGGTGAGCTCAAGAGCCAGGCTGTCTATGGTTGAAGTCTTTTGTCAGAAACACTCAACTTCTCACTAACAAACCTATATCATCACCCACTTACGTCTGTGTCCATCTTCTGTGTCAGCCTGTTGAATACAGGAGCTATTGCTCCCAGCCTTCCTGACATGGCCAATCTCTCCACCTGGGTTCTAGAACCTGTTTCTCTTGTCCTCTTGGAAACTTACCTCATTGTTATCTCAGCTGGAAACATCCCATGATCGCTTAAAATTACGCAATTCTCCCTCATTAGACACAAATAAAAATAATATACTCCCCAGAGCCACATTCCCTGCTACCTTCCACCTTGTAACTCTCCTGTTCTTTACAGTCAAAGTTGTTGACACATTATTTCACTTACTGCTCGACCCTCTCCAATATCTTCCACTCCTATTATTCACCAGTGCCCAATGACCTCTATGTCATAAAATCCAATGGAAAAACTTAACTTCTCATCGTATTTTAGCTGTCAGTAGTATGTGACATAGAAAATCTCTCTGATTCTTGAAATATTCTTTTCCTTTCACTCAGTACCACTTCCCTCAGTTGTTTTTCCTCCAGCTTCTTCAGCCATTCCTTAGCCTCCTTTGCAAGCTCATCATTGTATACCAAGCCCTCAGATGTTGTTGAACTTCTTTAAAGTTCAACTTCGAGTTCCCTACTCTCCACAGTCTGTACTATCTTAACATGCCCTGGGAGATTTAGTAAGATCTCTCCCCTACCCACTTGTCCTGTCTTTCCTCAAGCCACTTTGTCCTACTTATCTGGAGGAGCAGCTAATGCATCTTCTACCAAATCTTCCAACACAATCCCACTCATAGTGGACCATGTGTGTCAGAGTAGAAATGCATTCCATACATTTTCCAATGACTGATTTTTTGGAAACAGATCACCAGGCCTTTTTTCTGATTCACCTCAGGTTAGACTCAAAGCTCTAACCTTCTTGTCAGCAACTGAGCAAGCACATTGACCAACTGCACCCCCAGGGCCTCTGTCATCATTCACAATGTCTCATCATCTTTATGCCCGCAATTTCCCCTGCACGGAGTGGAAGTCCCTCATCCTCCGGTAGGGAATTCCTTCTCAATCTTGCAAACACACCTCAAACTTCTTCCCTGAAACCCCAGACTAGAACAGCTTACCCATATATACTCCCAATATGCTTCCTTCCATATAGCTTCTTGTATTTTCTTTTAAGGCTCATATGTTAGTAAGTAATTATAAACTTCCATTTAAAAAAAAGAAAAGTCAATTCCTCTCATTGGACTATACACTCCAGGAAGTGAGGTCCACATTTGATTTTATTCATGTAATCCCCAACCCAAAAAATATTTTTGGGACTCTCCTCAACAAGTTATATGTTTGAATGAATGAATGAATGGTTGTATGAATGGACATCAATTTGCGGGACATGAGAAAAGCCTTTAGGATCAAATGAACTTGGGAAATACTGGTTAAAACAAATTTGATTTTTGTTGTTGCTATTAGAGGCCATCAAGTAGGTTCCAATTCACAGTGGCCCTAGCCACCACAGGACAAAACACTGTGCCATCCTCACAACTGTTGCTATCTTTAAACCCACTGTTGAAGCCACTGTGTCAATCCATGTTACTGGGGGTTTTCCTTTGTTTGCTGACTCTCTTTACCAAGTATGATGCTTTTCTCCAGGGAACAGTCCCTCCTGGTAACATGTCCAAAATATGTAAAGGCAAAGTCATGCTATCGTCCCTTCTAAGGAGTGTTCTGGCTGTACTTCTCCCAAGACAGATTTTTCTCCTTCTAGCAGTCCCTGGTGTATTCAGTGTTCTTCCCCCAGCACTACAATGCAAAGGTGTCAACTCTTCCTTGGTTTTCCTTACTCACTGTCCAGCTTTCTCATGCACATAAGGAAATTGAAAATACCATGGCTTGGGCCAGGCATACCTTAGTTCTCAAAGTGACATTTTTGCTTTTCAGTACTTTAAAGAGAGGTTTTCCAAAATATTTCAATACCTTCTCCAAAATATCTTCTTTAAAATATTTCAAATAACTATGCATATGAACATTAATGTTTGTATAGGAAAGTAGAATTAAATATACTAGAAAATACTCAGCTTTTTGTACTTCTTGATAGCATCTATCATGATGTTTCAAATACTTGTTTTAGAAAATACTGATATTTTATCAGAATCATTTCCTGTTGAGATCTCATCTGCAAGTATTTCTCACAGTCTGCTGCACAGAAATTATTAATTAAATGCTCCTCCGAAATAGACCAAGTCCAGTGTGAGTGATGTCTGCCTACCACAGACTTTTCCTGGAATGATGCAATCATATGAAGGAAAACAAGTACAGAAACCTAACTAAATTGATTGCTTGCTTTTGGCAGGCCTCTTTTAAGTGTTAAAAAGGAAAGGACACTCAGCAAAATTAAAAAAAA